CCGTATTTGTAGCAAATATCATCACTTGGCTTCTTAAATCTGATATTTAATCCTAATTATGTCTTTTAAACTTTTAGATCAACATTTAACTCATTTTGGATGTCTATAAGTTGATAGTAAACATAATTAGCCATATTATAGGCAAGCACTGCATCATCTAAATGATCATTTAATGTTTTATTCATTAAATAATCCCAAGTAAACAGGGGTGCATGCCCACTTCTTGAGGTAGTTAAAGTATAATCTTAACCTCTTATATAAGTATTCTATAAATGATCTTGAGGCATTAGTTCTTTGTCCTTAATTAGTAATACTGATGAAGGAAACGGAGAAGGAATCCATTTATGAATACTTGTAGTGATACTTTTCACTTCCTTTAATGAGAAATCGAATTTTGCTTCATTGATTGTCTTAATCGGTAAGAATTTATGCTTTGACATTCTTGATGCTATTTCAAGAAATCTTATGTATGGACCGCACCATGCACCATCAATATGGATCCAATGATTTTTCAAGTCATTGTAAAACTCCTAAGTTTTCAATGCATTGATAATTTCAGTGGTACTGTCAAATGAGCAAGTTGAGGTGGTGCCCACATTAGCAATTATTAAAACTGGAATTTTCTATTCTGCAAGAGGTTTTAAGATTGCTTTTAGTGAATCAATATCCATTTATCCGGCTGAATTGTGAGGAACTTTGTCAGGCCACTATTTCATTCCTGCTGGGGGCTCAAGATTTAATGATCTAGCAACTTGGCCGAATGTGTTTAACTTAAGATAGTATATGGCCTTATTAAGAGATGAGTGAGCCTTCTCTGTGTATATTACTGCCACATTTTAATGATTTCTGAAATACTCTCTGGCAAAATATATCGCCTGCAAATTACTCTCTGTTGACCCAGAAGGCATATAACCCCATAATTCACATTCTTACGGGACTTTGTATAACTCACCGAAGTATCTTATAACCTACTTCTCAAATTATCTAGTCCTGAGTTGATTGTAATCTGTATTAATTTAGAAAGAATCCCCATGATTATTCAAATAGTACTTAAGGTAAACTCCCATTTTTTGAAAGTCATGCTATCTTATAGGGAAACTTAGTTAATTTTCCCTCGCCGCATCCATTTCCTACTGCAATTACTCATGAAATTACTCTATTTCCAATTAATTCATTTATTTTACTTACCGAATTAGTTTTTGCTGATCCTTGAGTTATTCAATTATAACCGAGGTAAAAAATCAATTGTCCTGAGATTTTGCCTGTCAAGCTTTGAATTCTTCTGGACATCCGATTGCTTGGCAACTTTATCCTCTTCTGGATTTTGCTTAACTTCCTCTTTAATCTTGAGATATTAATGATCTATCTGTAATGTTGTCTAGCTCTAGATGGGAACTTAACGAGAGTATATCAGACTTTCATTATGATCTTGATTTAATTTATTCTGATTATCATCTAAGTTTGATGATGAGCTGAAAATTCTGACTCCTATATGCTTAGAGCTCAGTGAATTTGAGTTTCTTAGAGTTTAGATTCTTCTCAAGAGGAGATTGTTCAAAGATTTCAGTTTTGGAGTTATCTAAATAAAAGTCAGTTTAAGTTTTTAATAAATTGAGAATCCTTAAATAGACTTACATTATTAAAGAGTGAAGAAACTGTATTAAAGAGGTAAGTAATTCAACGAAATAACCTAAAGATTAATCTAATAGTAATTTGATTAAATTAACTAATTCAACATTAGCTATTCATCAATTTTTTTCAGATTGAATTAATGGGGTTTTGGGGTTTTGGGGTTTTGGGG